CATCCAGGCCGCCCCGCAGCTGGAGACCCACGGCATCCCGGGAGCCCGAGACTGAACGCCCCACAGTAAAGACCGCAGCCCTCGTCCTCAGCCCTCGCCCGGTGGACTTCTCGCGGGGCGTGGTGGCTGGGTCGTGAACACAGCACCAATCGCCGGCTGCCAAGGAAACGACTGCTGTGCAACTTGGGGCTCACCACTGCTCCCACCTCCCTTGCGGCTTCTCTCAACCCCCCTCACCTTCACCCCCGTCAACCTGGCCCCTTTGCGTCCAGATGCTCCTGGGCTCTTGCTCACTGGCCATTCCAAGCGTTGATCACACTTGGGCGCTGGTCTCACCGCCAGAGACCAGCAACAACAGGCGTTTGTTCCCATTCCTGCAGACGCCTGTGCTAAGCCCTGAAGGCAGAACAGGTCATTTAGTCGTTGGCTCTCCAAGGTGGATGATCTTGTCGCGGGCTCCTGGTTCACGACTGACACGTCATTTGTGGGGTCTGGGGCAAAGCGAAAATGGGGGACTCCTGGCTAAGAGCTTCAAAACCGGGACAGCAGAGCATGATACCAAGCGCTTGACGGGTCTCTCACTTGTGCCAGGAGACTGAGGCTCAGAGAGGCCGAGTGGCATGCTCAAAGTCACAAAGCCAGCAGGGCTGGGGCTGGGACTCCGAGTCAGACAGTCTGGCTCCCGGGCCAGGAGCTTGCAGGCTGGGCCCCAGACTCAAGTCAGCAAATATTGACGGACTGCCGCGGACAAAGTGCTGGGCTCACCTGGGAGGAGTCCAAGAACTGCCACTCCCACAGCCTCCGGGAGGTCACTAGCCGTGGGCATGTGACACGACTGCGGGCTCTTTGTTGTACTGAGTCACCTTACGTTGGGCTCTGCCCTCTCCCCCTTCACGGGGCTGTAGGAGGGCTCAGCCACGCAGCGGGAGTCTGTCCCCTCCTGGGGGCTTTCGTGGGGTCTGGGAGACCAAGGGTGGGGCAGGGCCTGGGACTTCCTTGAGGGAGGCCACCACGGTCACCCTCACCCCTTGGCTAGTCAGTGCTCCCGATCACGGGACCCCTGGCCATGGACGTGTCTCGGAGGACCCCGTTCGGGACGCTGGAGCCAAATGGCTTTCCACCCACGTCGGCGGGGTGCGGGGACACAGTGTTGCTCTCCTTCCCGGGGCAGGCACGGCAGACAGGCATCCCACAGTGACTGTAACAGACAGAACGCCCGCTTAGGAGTCCGACCAACAGGGCTCAAAACTGTGCTCCTTAATCAAGATTAAGGTTTGACCTTAATCTTATAATCACTTAGTAATAAGTGGTTATGCGCTCTGAGTAAATGACTTCACCTCTGCGCCTCTGTGCCTCTGCTTCCTGACCTGTCAAATGGGATCTTGAAGCTGTTCTGTGGATGCCCCAGGCCAGTGTCCCTTCTGCTCGGGGCCCACCCTCCTCAGAGCAGACTGCGAGGAATAAACCCACCATGCCACTCGCTCCACTCACACCTGGGAAGTTTCCACCCTTCTTGGTCCCTGGCCCAGCCTTCGTGTGTCTCTCCTCCCTGGGCCCTCTTCTTCTCCACTGGCTTCCCCCTGGACTCCTGAGGGAGCTGTTTTGTCTCCCACAAAGAAGGGGTTGGCACTTTGGGGCCATTTTCCTCTCTAGAAGACCCCGCCTCCTTGGAGGCTGGTGCCACCGTGACCTGGCATACCCACTGCAACAGGTCCACCCCTCCGCCTCATTCTTGGGATGTTTGAGACTTGCCCACCTCTTCGCACCTGGATCTTACCTCAACCTCATGTGACTCCATTACCCAAGGGGGGACCTCACCACCCCTGACCTCTCAGCTCCCCTCGCCCAGGGTCACACTTGGGGGCTTGTCCTCACCCCAAACTCCTCTCCATTCGAGCCAGGTTCTGGTCCTCTGAGCCTTACCCCAGGCCTTCCAGCTGGGGTATATTCTCTGGAGCACCCCCAGCCTGCCGACCCTTCCGATGCCCTACTCACTCCCCCGCTCCTGTTCTCGGGGCCCAACCACGTCCCAGCCCCTTCTCTCCCTGAGAGCTTCGATCCCTTTCTCTGGACCGAATCCTTCCCCGATTCGTGTCTTAATTAGCTTCATCCATCTAGACCGTGTCTTTCCATCTCTCCCCTCACGACAAGTGCCCGCCCTCTCGCTCCACTCCACTTCCTCTCCCTCCCTCCTCAGACTTATCCGGTCACCCCTGCTCTCAGCCTGGCTTCCCTGGAACGAGCCCCTCCAAGCCCACCCACGACCTCTGTGTTGCTGAAGCCGGCGCGCCTTTTTCTGTCCCAGCCTGTGGTTGGCTCCTCAGGAGTCTGGCAGTGTAGACACTCTGTCTTCCTTGCAGCCCTCAGTCCCTTTGCCTCTGGGGTGCCACCGCCTCTGGGTCTTCCCCGCCTACGCTGGCTGTTCCCGGTCAGAGTCTTGTGAGGCTTGCCCCAGCCTGGCCCCGGGGCCCACTTCCCTGCGTCTCCCTGGATAAACGCTCCACACCTGCACGGTCTCCACAGGAAAGACTCCCCCAGTCGCTCCCTCCCGACAGCCTCTCCTCTGTGCACCAAGCCCTGTCCTCCCGTCTCCAGGCGCACCTCTCAGGGGCCAAGCCCAAGAATGGCCTTCACGAGCCCCGCCCCCTGCGCCCTCTCTCTGGGGAACAGGCTGCCCTGCAAGGCACCTGGACATCCCCCTCTTCCTCATCGCCAACCCCGACCATGGTTCCTCCTCAGCTGGCCTCCGGCCCGTCACCCCGGCAGCCTCGACCTTCTCCCTGGGTGCCATTATGCTCTCCTAACTGCCCCTGCCTCCCCGCTTGCCCCTTTTCCGTCCACTCTCCACTGGGCAGCCAGTGGCGTCTTTCCAGAATGCAGATACAACTGGGTCAGGCTCCTGCCTAAAGCCCTTCCATGGCTTCAGGTTGCCCTCATCGAAAATTCCCTTCCAACTGGGTGCAGTGGCTCACACCTGTAATCCTAACACTTTGGGAGGCAGAGCTGGGAGGATCACTTGGGGCTGGGCCTTCAAGACCCGTCTAGACAACATGGCAAGACCCCATCTGAAAAGAAAAAAAAAAAAAAGCTGGGCATAGTGGTGCATGCCTGTAATCCCAGCTATTTGGGAGGCTGAGGTGGGAGGAGCTCTTGAGCCCGGGAGTAGGAGATCAGCCTGGACAACATAGTAAGACCCTGCCTCGACAAAAAGTAAAGGGAAAAAAATCCGCTTCTCACAGATCACAGGGCCCTCCTTACCCATGCTCTCCTCCGCAGCCTCCTAACCTCATCTACCGTCTGTCTTCCTCCCCCGGCAGTTCCTCAGCCCTGACTCCCAGACACACCACAGGGCCTTTGCACACACTGTTCCTGCTGCCTCCTTCCCCAGCACGGCCCCCATGCTCCCTCCGAGTTCCCTGCCTACCCTCACCCGCCACGGCACACACCCAGTGCCTCACAGAGTGGCTGGCAGCGGCCCTCAATAGATAGTGGCTGAATGTAGGGCAGGAGGCCAAGTGTGTAAAGTGTCCGGGAGGACATCCAATTCCCCATCTCGTCAGTGTTGTTATTGGTGTTATTCAGGGACGGGTTCCTGGAGCAGGTGGGATGGAGCAGGGCCTCGCCATAGGGAGGCGGCACAAAGCAGAGCTTGCTGGCTGGTGGACCGGGGCCAGGCGTGCCTTCGGCTGGGGCCTCGTTTCTCACGTGTCACTGGGCAGGGGTTGGGCGACGTGAGCTGAGGCTCTGACGTGCCGGGGCCCTGGCATCCCGCAGCCCTCCGTGTCCCCATCGGGAGCGTGATCCTCCCGCAGGCAGGGATTTGGTGGGGCCCAGCCCAGCCCAGCTTCATGCAAGACCTGGGTGGCACCTCCCAAGACCCGGCTGTCTGGTCTGCCATCCCCCGCTCGGCCACCGGGCGGCGCTCGGAGACCAGCCACACGGCCCGAGTCTGGGCGAAGGCCCGCCCGCGGCCCCGCGGGGCCCGGTCC